ATTTAATTATGGTATTAGTGGTGATCGTACTGAACATGTTTTATGGCGTATTGAAAATGGTGAATTTGATGGTTTACAACCAAAAGTTATTGTTTTAATGATTGGTACGAATAATGTTCCGATTGGTGATAAACCATCGGATATTTCGAAAGGTATTCAAATGATTTTGGAAAAATTATTGGCCAAAATGAACAAATCAAAAATATTATTGTTAAGTGTATTTCCACGTGGTGGTGAATCAATCGATAGAAAAGTTGCCGAAGTTAACAATATTATCCACGATTATCAGGATAATTCAAGAATTTTTTATCTTGATGTAACTAAACATTTTGAAACAAATCCAGGTAAAATTATTGAAAAATATTATGTCCATGATCATCTTCATCTAACCGAACAAGGTTATCAATTGTGGCATAAAGTTATGGAACCATTGTTTTCAAAATTATTAAATTAATTTACCAAAATTACAAATTACAAATCGAATTTTTACAAGATTAAATTTACAAAATTTCGACAACAATTTTGTAAATTTTCATATAAAATTATCCATAAAAATTCCATTTAAAAAATTTGTAAATGTATTTAGTTTAATAATTTTTCTTTTTAATTTTTAAATTAGAAAAATAATTTTTATAAAATTAAAATTATAAAATTAAATCAAGCAAATGTCAACAAAAGATGTTGAAGTTTCCGATGTAACACGTATCAGATATTTTCGTACAAATAATCGTGATATAAAAATATCTAAATTAGATCCTAGACAAGGTATACAACATGAAATTGAACAAGCATTAGAAAATAAAAAAAGTAATCAATTAAGAAATGATCATCAAAGAGAATTATTAGAAAAAGGTTATAAATTACGTAATATTATTGGATCGGGTTCGTATGCACATGTATTCCGTGCAAAAGATTTACGACAATCAATGGAAGTTGCATTGAAATTAATTGAATTAGATAAATGTTCAAAACATTATAAAGATGTTTGTTTACGTAATGAAATATATGTTATTCGAGAATTATCACATGAAAATATTGTTCATTTTTATGAAGCATTTAATACAAGTTTAGCATATGTTATGGTTATGGAATTGGTTGATGCTGGTACATTTGCTGATTTATTGAAAAAAAATGGTCCAGTATCGGATGATCGTGCCCGACGTTTATTTCGTGGTGTATTTTTCGGTGTTGATTATATGCATCAAAAATTAATTGCACATCGTGATTTAAAATTGGAAAATATCCTACTGAATCGTTATGGACAACCAAAAATTTCCGATTTTAGTCTTTCGCTTATTTGGGATGGTAAACGTTTAGCAACTGATTGGTGTGGTACACCACCATATTTTGCACCTGAAATTTTACAAGGGTAAGTTATTATTTCAATGTTATTTTTTAAAATTGTCAAATTTTTCATCAATCAATCAATCAAATCGATTCTAAAATAGGGTACCATATAATCCATTAGCATATGATGTTTGGAGTCTTGGTGTTTGTATATTTATAATGACAAATGATACATTACCATTTATGTTTGTTGATTATCAAGAAATGTTACAAAAACAATTAAATCGTGATTGGAAATTTCGTACACGTTATGAACGTTTTATTTCGGAAGATCTGAAACAATTAATTCGTGCAATGTTAGATCCAGATAATAGTAATCGTATTAAGATTAGTGATTTACTTCAAACAAGATGGTTAAGGGCTATTGTTTGATTTGATTATCATCAAAACAACAAAACAAACAGACGACAAACACACCATCATACACAAACACCGTGACATACCGTACACAAACACCATGACACACACACACATCACATGATAGAAATATATTTTTCAAAAAAAAACAAAAAAACAAAAAACTAATAATAAATTATATTCGCAAAATGAAAACCAAAAAATCAACCCTCTCCTACCCTTCTCTCTTTAAATCCTTGAAAAAGCAAGAAGAACGCGTTCAACCTGTCCTTGAAACGATAAAAAACATCAAAGTTTTTAAACTAGTTTTTGGTCGGTTTGGTTTGGTTGATCGATGGATTGAAACAAAGACAATTTTCACCTGATATTTTAGTTTGAAGACGATCAACAAGTGTGTTGTCTTTTTTGTCTAGAGAAGAATGTCTTGTTCATCATCAATGGAAACCAAATATAATTTCAATGATAAAGTAGCGATTGTAACTGGATCAAGTTCAGGAATTGGTGCTGAAATTGCTAGACAATTTGCTCGTAATGGTGCTCAAGTAACAATTACTGGTCGTGATTCGAATGCATTACAATCGATAGCTGATGAAATTGAAAAAGAATTCAATCGAAAACCATTGCAAATTATTGGTGATTTAGTAGTTGATCAATCTACGTTACCATTCAGATTAATCAATGAAACGATTTCTGCGTTTGGACGTTTAGATTTTCTCGTTAATAATGCTGGTGGTGGTTCACCATATGATAGTCTTTTGAACGAGAATCTTATGCAAGGTTTTGATCAAGTTTTTACACTAAATGTACGATCGGTGGTTTATTTAACACAATTGGCGGTACCATATTTGGAAAAAACTTGTGGAAATATTATCAATATTTCTAGTATGGCTTCAATAAGACCGGTATGTGTTTTGTTTTGGTTTGAATGTTTTTTCCCTTTGAAAATAATGTCTATTTTGAAATTCTTTTGCAAAACAAAACAGCATTCGATCCTGTATAGTTCATCAAAAGCTGCTGTGGATATGATAACAAAAACATCAGCACAAGAACTTGGTGGTAAAGGAATTCGTGTTAATTCAATTAATCCGGGTTCGGTAACAACACGTTATGCACGTTCGATTGGCCTGCCTGAAACAATTCTCTCAGATTATGAAGATGATATACGAGAAAAAACTATATTAAAATTTGTACCAAAACCAATTGAAATAGCAAAATTAGCAATGTTTTTAGCATCGGATGATGCTAGAAATATGACCGGTTCAAATATTGTTACCGATAGTGGTTCTTTGTTAATGAAACCATATTAATTTGAATTAAGAATTTTTTTTTGTTGAATAAAAAACAAAGGGTTTTTCATCAAAAATTGATTTTTAATTTTCAAATGTTAACCTCCGTGGTTATTAACAAAGGGTTAACGTTTTTCAACTTTCATAATAATATCTTTTGGTACTAATGTATCAAAATTAACATAAAAATCTAATTTAGTTTTTGAACATAAACTTAAACGATATAAACGAATAAAATGTATGAGCATCATTTTAGCTTCAAATAATGCTAATGTTGTTGCTATACATTTTCTTGGTCCACTACCGAATGGTAGAAATGCTGATTTATTAAATTGTTTATCCGGAT